GTGTCAGTTTTGTAGTTCTTTTTTTTTTTTCCTTCACTTTTTACTTCACTGCTGTGTATTTGGATTAGAGGGCGTTATCAAGCAAACTCCCCAGGCATCTTAACCATATTTCATTCCTTTTCTTGGCAGGAGAGGATGAAAAAAAAAAGTAGGTCCATCTAAATGGTTACTGATTGACAATTGACAACAATTTATGTGAACACCTATTTTGAAAATCCCTCTGGGAGCTGGGTAAGATGAAAATGAAGGACAGATTTCGAAGGAAGTGGAGGTTTGCGAGCTTGGGATGTAGGGAACTGGCAAAGAACGGAGGGAGGAGAGGCCCTGCTTGTGGGCACTGGTCCTCTATCTTGAATTCTGTCCCTATTCTTCAGTGTGGGCAGGTGCTCTTTCTTGCTCCACACCCCCTTTTCCTTTTCTCCCAAGGAAAGGAGATAGAGGCTATGATTTGTTTTTCTTCTCGGTTTTCATAAAGGCATCTGAAGATGTCTCCAGGACTCGTTTTAATAGTTTAAAGGAAACATTACATCAGCCAGGTGCTTCCCTTTTTTCCTGAGTAGTGATCTCCAGTGGGGAAGCTGATCAGAAATCAAATTCTTCTCACAGCCCCGTTCAAGAGCTTGCCTTGACAAACTCACTTTTTTCTCTCTTAGGTATTTATAAATGCCTAACATGTGCAAGGCCCAGAAGAAAATTTGAAGAAATAAAAAATTATATTGAGCAGTACCTAGTCCTGAAGCCCACTTTTGAGAATGGAGATACCCTCTTGTTTCTGAAGTCCTAGTCCCCGCTATTTTTAGGTCCTGGGTCATTGCCCAAGAATGAGCCAGTGACCTGGAAAAGCCAATTTTCCCTTCATTCTCTGCTCTGACCCCACGTACCCCTCCATTGTTCTACTAGAATTTCCCTCTGTCTGTGGGACTGGGTGAAATGACCCATAGGTAACTGAATAGGACCTTAGTTTGGGGACACAGACCTTAATAGCTCAGATACCTGTCTAGACTGTGGCTAGCAAGACCAGTTTTAGGCATGGCAGACTGGACTCTGTGTTACACTAGGGGGTCTCCAAAATGATTTATCATGCTTTCCTATCAATAAAACATTTTAAGCATACACCCAAGTTTTTGCTTATATATTTATTCATAAATTCTATGCATGTACACTTACACTAATATATATGTTATAAAGCTTGTACAAAAATAGGAAATTTATAGACTGAGAGAGTTCTAAAGCACTAGAAATTCTCATATACTTTTACCACACCTCGTCTGCCCCACTGTGGAAATCATTGCTTTACTTAGTAAAATGAGAAAATGTCCTTTGGAGACTTCTTTCCCGAACTTCAATGCCTGCTATTATTGATCTAAGGGATAATGAAAAGCTTTTTGTTGGCCAAAATGTTTCCTTTCCCAAATAAATAGACATATCTGAAATTTCTCTCCTAGAGAAGGGATGACCTTTGGGTTAAGCGTTGCCTTCCCTCTGGGGTCTCATAAATGGCAAATTCTCCTGAGCTAACATGGGACAAACTTTTTACATCTCCAGTTCTTTGGGTTGATGCCTAAATTCTTGCTTTCCTCAGAACCCTAGATGTCTGAGCTAGTGCCTCCCACAGGGGAATTTGTATTTGTTACAGGAATAAATATTTGGTGACTGAATGAATGTGAAAAGGACACAGAAGGAAAAGACCAAGAAGAGTAAGATGAATGTGTTTTGTCCACTAATTCTAATATGTCTTGTATTGGTTATACAGCTTGTTATCTTTCTTTTACAGTGGGGATGCTCCTTGGCTGTCTGGTAGCTTTCCCCTGCGTATATTAGTTGTCCTGGTGTGAATTGTTCCTGGGGAAATGACCAAGTGTGAGCTGCTTCTGTAGGTTTAGGAAGGGAGCAGGCCCATAAGAGGGACACTGTGCGGGCTTTCTCTCACCTTTGGCTGACTTCTCACCAGACACCCTGCTTCTTGGGAGAGGGGCAGATCCCCTAGGACTCCTGTTTTCTGAGGATTGTGTGTTCCTGATTTGTAATGGGCAAGTTCTGTGAGTATGGAGATGTAGGGTATTCTCAATGGCTTGCTGGTCTCCTCTTGCTTCTGTTTGCATCTCTACCCCTCAGTCCTGCACAGATGCTTCCTTGCTATTTCTCCTACTCATCTGTGGTGCCCCCTGGAGCTGCTGTTTTCCTGTCCTCCAGGAGCTGATGGGGACCACAATGCATGACAGGGTGGTGGACACTCACAGCCAAAGGCTCTCTCCCACACAGTCTCCTAACCCCTTTCTGCTCTGAGCTGATCTTTTCTCCCCACATTGGGTAACAATCACCTTCTGCCTCATAAGGGTTCCTCACAATCTTTGGTTCTTCAAATTTGTACTTTTCCAGGAACTTCCCAGGGTTAGAATAGAGGCGGAAACCCACAATGCATTTTCTGCTCCACACCTCCACTGACTGTGCTCCCTTTTATTTCTGAATTTTCTGTCTCTCACCCCCACCCCGCCTCTGGGAGATACAATTTTCATCTCCTAGTTCCCTCTTCAGGCAACAAGGCCTGATCTCTGTATCTTCTTCCTTTGCTCTGCTAACTTATTTGTTGCTTCTTCATCTACTTTCCATCTTCAAAAATGTCCTCAATCTTCCAGTTTACTATTGACTTCTCTCCAGTTCATATTATCCAGATGTATTTATACTTCTTTTCTTCTGCTTTACTTTCATATTTGTGAACTTTCAGGAAGGAGAGAAATAGAAGTATTTGGTCAATATGTCATGTTTAAGGTCCTCCAACAGGAAATATTTAGAGAACTAAACAAACCGAGTCTCAAGTTGATCTGGAAGAAAAAAATAAGTAAGAATGGTCAAGAAAATTTTGAAAAGAGAAGTAACTTGATGTTTTATCATAAACTATAGGTCCTTAGGACACAAAGTAGTATAGTATTGGTATAGCACTATAAAGATTATAAGATAAGATATATGAGAATAAAAATAGAAATAAACAAAAACATAGAAAAACAGATAATTAGAATATAGATATGGGGAGATGTATGTATGTATTTAGTTCATGAATGGGAGTAAGCATTTCAAATTATTAGGGGAAAGAAGAACAATATCTATTGCTGGGATAACTAGTTGTTTATTGAAAAATTAAATTCATGTGGATCTCCTTTATGGGTTGAATTGTGTCTCCCAAAAGACAATGTTGAGTTCTAACCTCTGGTAGCTGTGAATGTGACTATATGATTAATTTTATGTATCAACTGGCTAGGCTATGGTGCCCAATTATTTGGTCAATCAATAGTATAAATATTCCCGTGAAGATATTTTGTAGATATGATTAACATTTACAACCAGTTGACTTTATTTTTTTTATTTTAAATAATAAATTTTATTTTTATATTCCCCATACAATTGCAACCCCCCCCATTCTGACCCCAATCCCTCCCCTCCCGCCCCCCACCCCCCAAAAAGTGTTTCTGGTTCATAGTTTTTTTGTTGATTTTGATTTTGATTTTCTTATAGTTATTCATTTTCCTGGTCCCTTATTTAAGTTTTCTAGATTCCTGCTATGAGTGAGACCATCCGGTGTTTTTCTTTTTCTTTTTGGCTTATTTCACTGAGCATGATCCCTTCCAGCGCCATCCATGTTGCTGCAAATTGCATGTGTTTATCTTTTTTGAATGCTGAGTAATATTCCATGGTATATATGGACCACATCTTCTTGATCCAGTCATCTATTTTTGGGCATTTGGGTTGTTTCCAAAGCTTAGCTGTTGTAAATAGTGCTGCTATAAACATAGGGGTGCAGGTGTTCTTTGGAATTGATGTTTCTGTGTCCTTTGGGTAAATACCTAGGAGTGGAATTGCTGGATCATATGGAAGCTCTATGTTTAGTAGGTCCAGAAATCTCCACACAGCTCTCCATAGTGGTTGGACCAGTTTGCACTCCCACCAACAGTGCAGGAGAGTTCCTTTTTCTCCACATCCTCGCCAACATTTGTTGTTGCTAGTTTTTTTTAATATGTGCCATTCTCACTGGTGTGAGATGGTATCTCATGGTAGTTTTGATTTGCATTTCCCTGATGACAAGTGATGTTGAACATTTTTTCATATGCCTGTTGGCCATTTGCATTTCCTCTTCAGAGAAGTTTCTTTTTAGCTCTTCTGCCCATTTTTTGACTGGATTATTTTCTTTGTTGTTGTTGAGTCTCATCAGCTCTTTGCAGATTTTTGTGATCAGTCCTTTATCATTAGTGTTGTGTGCAAAAATGTTCTCCCAGTTGGTGGGGTTTCTCTTTGTTTTTGTTATTGTTTCTTTTGCTGTGCAGAAGCTCTTTAATTTGATGTAGTCCCAGCTGTTTATCTTTGCCTTCACTATCACTGCTTTGGGTGATGTGTCTGTAAAGATGTCTTTGATGTGAATATCATGTAGTGTTTTGCCTATATTTCCTTCTATGTATTTTATGGTTTCAGGTCTTATGTCTAGTTCTTTAATCCATTTTGAGTTGATTTTTGTGTATGGTGTGAGGTAGTTACAACCAGTTGACTTTAAATAAAGCATGCTGCCCTCTGAAATATGGGTGGGCTTCATCTAATTAGTTGAAAGATTGGAGAGCAGAAACTGAGATTTGAGGAAAAGAAAGAATTCTTTCTCTCCATATATCTATGCTATATGTATGGCATTATATATTAAAATGCATGTGTGTGTGTGTGTGTTGTGTGTCTGTGTTTGGAAGGGGTTCTTGTTCTCTGGAGAACACTGATTTTGATATTGTGCTCTTATTTGGAAATAGGTTGTTTGCAGATGAATCAAATTAAAATGAGGTCATTAGGGTGGACCCTAATCCAACATACTTGGCATCCTGATTAAAAAAAAAGATTGCCACATGAAGACAAAGACAAAGGGAGAATGCCGTAGAGTGACAGAGCCAGGAATTGGAGTGGTACGGCTATAGGCCAAGGAATGTCAAGGATTTCCAGCTATCAAAGAAACTGGAAGAGGAAAAGAAGAACTCTCCCCAGGATCCTAGAGATAGCACAGCCCTACTGACACCCTGATCCAGACTTCCAACTTCTGGACTGTAAGAGAATACATTTTTGTTCTTTTAAGTCATCCAGTTTGTGGTACTTTCTTACAGGAACCTTAGAAAACTAATATAACCCTTGTCTAATGTCACACATAAAAATTCATTCCAGAGAAATTAGACAAATATTAAAAAAACCCTATAAAATTATTTGAATAACAAAGATTGTCTAAAATGTCAATCCATACTAAATGCCAGGTGCTAAGTGCATTACTTAGCAGCTATTATCATTGTCTCTGTTTTGCAAGTGGGAGAGCAGGCATGCAGCCAGCAAGAGGTAGAGTCAAGATTTGAACCCACAAAATCTGAATCCAGAATCTGTAAAAAGAAAATGTTGGCAAGGGGAGGTCTCTGCTATGAAAGGTATTAAAAACAAAACCCCAAAGGAAGAAGGGTTGACAGTTTAACCACATGAAAATCCAACAATTCAGTATGACAAAGGTACTATAAACAAAGTTAATACAAGAGACAGGGAAAAAATATTTTCAATATACCAAAAAGACAAAGGAAACAGTATAAATGAGAGAAGAAAAATAAAATAAGTGTCAAGGGACTTAACTAGATAATAAAGAGGAAGAGGATAATAAAGAGATAGATAGATAATAAAGAGAATAAAAGAACAAATGACTAATAAACATATGAAGAGATGTTTCACCTCATTAATAATCAGGGAAATACAAATTAAGATGACTTGTCACTTGTTATTGTAGCAAAGACTAACCTGGTCGACAATTCTCAGTTTAATTAAGGGCTACTCTCCTGTGCTACTGGTAATTTATAATGTGGTGAAGATCTTTTGGTACTTGATTTCATGGTGTACATAATAAAAAGCAATGCACTTTTTAATCCAGAAATCTCTCCCCTTCATGCTTACACTGGCTTTCTATATCAATCATGGCTTATGATTTCAAAATCCAGTAATGGATACTGACTATCTTAGGCAGAAAATAAATTTCATGAGAAAATATCTCTGCTTTTGCAGGGTTGATGGCAAACCTCACCAAGGTTGGCAAAATTCACCAAGCCAGCAGGAGCCACTGAAGACTGGATTGCTGAAGACCTGGCGCAGCCCATACCGCAGGAAGAGTCTCATTGCATGCAGCCATTGGCTCTGTCTCCACTAAGACTTGTGACCACTGCTACTCACTCTCCACTCTGTCATCATTGCTGCTGCCACCAACAACCTCCAAGTGTTGTTGAGCTTTTGTCTTAGTCTCTGCTAGTTCATAAAGGTGAGTGCTATTAGCTATGCCTAGGCCGTATATTCTGACTGGGTGCCAGGGACAGAGCTAGGCTTGTTTTTGTCCTAACTTTAAGATGATTCTGCCTTTCATGTAAATTTATACCTTAGATGGGAAGAATACTTGTATAAAGAGCAGACAGGGTCAGTAAACACCTATAAATGAATCCAACAGTATTGGTTAGTGTTTTCCAGAGTAGAACCAATACAAGATATCTGCATCTACAGCTATGTCTTTATATATTTTTTATTATTAATGATAATCTGTACAGAACGATAGAAATTTATTATCAAGAAGTGGTTATGGAAGCTAAGAATTCTTAAGATCTGTAGTCAGCAACCTGAACACCCAGAAAGGCTGAGGGTATAAGTTCCAGTCTGAAACTGAAACTGGCAGCTGGAGACCAAAGAAGAGCCAATTTTTTAGTTTGTGTCTGAAGGCAGAAAAAGACTAGCTCAAGTAACCAGATGGGCTGGAGAAGTTCTATCTTACTCAGCCTTTTTTTGTGGTATTCATTCAACTGATTGGATGAGGTCTACTCACATTAGGGAGGGCAATCTGCTTTATTCAGTCCAGTGACTCAAATGTTAATCTCATCTAGGAACACCCCAATGGATGTAACCAGAATGTCTGGGCAACCGTGGTCCAGTGATAGACATATTAAATGAACCATCACATTGTAACCATCGCATCACATTGCGGCTACTCAAGATTTATATACACTTTTCTTCCCATATTTTCACTAATTTCCCCTTGCCAAAAATACTCAGCTGCCATCATGTAACTTTTGCAAATCAAAAAGCACTAGCCTTCCCACAAGGGAGTGACCCATATTCTCATGTTACCACCAGATTTTGGGTTAAGTGCCTGCCATCTCTATTTTTTCATTTATTCCGTCTCTATATTGAATAACTGATACTGGCATGCTAGAGCCAGCTCAAACAGAATATTTGTGAGCTGGTTTTGAGACATAGCCATTGTTCAAAATGAAATGATGTATACTTACAACAAAATAAATTATATTAAAAACAAAAGTAGTTAATACTTAAAACGCATCACTTCCTAATTATTTTACTATTATCTCTGCTTTTGAGGAGATTATTTACATAAATTGTGTCTGTGTGGTAGAAACACTGTATTTGATCTATTGACAGCTCTTCTTAACTTTGTTCAGTAATATCATGTTAGTGGCATGAAATTAGACAAATTGTTGAGTATACATAAATATGGCAAGTGCTATAAGCTGAGGCTTATTTTTTCTCTTTTTCCCTTTTTGGTGATTCTAGAGTTAAGGAAGTGATGGGAAAAAAATGTCAATAATGGCAATTAAACATACATCAAATCTATGGCTGTTCATGGTAAGTAGCATAAAAACTGAGAAAATATTCTCCCAGTGTTTGAAAGCTTTTATCTCATTCAGTAGTGAAGTTTTTCATACCATTGACAAATGAGTGAAGTCTGACATATATCTTCATTACTTTGCTCTTTCTCTTAGCACAAATGAAAATATCAACCAACATCTGTGTCAGAATGGCACCAATTCATCAGCTGCAATCAGCTTGGCTATGGGTACGAGAGTTTGGCAAAAAATCACTGACTGTATTCTGTTAGAATCAATTGGCTATACTGAATTTAGAACTCAGATGTTACATATTTATATTTATAAAATGGTATATTATACATTTTATCAGTAAAATTTATCATAAGCTTATGTATGCATATATATTTTTTCTGAAATGTTGGTTATTAAACATTTGCCAGCATACCAGTGCTTGTGGGTTAAATTATAAAGGCCACTACTACCAACATGTCAATGTGAGTGAATCTTCTTAATATAAGTAAAAAACTTAAATCCCAAAAGATTATATATAAGATGATAGTCTTTTCATAATGTTAAAAGTAATTACAAACCCTTTTGAAAGAAAAGATACTAATGTTAATATATTCGTTGATTATTTTAAATCATTTTCACTGTTGATGTATAAGAGTTCTTGATATATTCAGGATTCTACACCCTTACTAGATTTGCAAATATTTTTTCTCATCCTACATTGCCTTTTCACTTTCTTGACTTCTTGATATTTTGCCTCATTCTTTTTGAAACTTGAATTAGGAGTCTCCTGCAAAAAAGTTTATCCTTTTGCTCGTATATTTAAGGCTCAGGGGGAGCTAAGCATCCCAGAAGGGAGGAAATAGTTAACCATTTATTCTGAGGGAAACAGCAATTTTCAGGTGAATAATAATTAGGCGAGAGTTTTGAATTCACTCAGAAGTCAATTTTGGCATCTGCAGAGATTCAGTTAGCTGTGTTTACAGTCAGGGCTGGAAATGCAACGCCTTCAGGCCCTCTGCTCCCTGAGTCAGGTCCAAGGGCAGAATCTGATATGTCTGGTGTGGGAAGAGCCTTTCCAGACAGCTCATGCTAAGTGGTGCTGCAGGGGGAGCAGCCTAAGCCCTAATGCTGCCGCCATAACACTAGTCTGTATTTCAGCCCTGAAAAGGGGGCCATTTCTTTCTGTCCAGGTCTTGATAAGTCTATAAAAGATCTGTGGCCAGGGCTTCCCTGTGCTTTGCCTAAGGAACTCTCTTGCTAATTGGAATCAAGTGGATCATATTTTTAGTGCCTGCCAGCTGTTTCTGGGGCAGGTGGAGTTTCAGAAGGGCAGCTTATAAAGGGATTCACACTCAGAGAGATTGGGGCAGAGCTAAAGGGGGTGGAATGCTAGAGGCAGCCCTGAATAGGTTATGGGAGGGCCTTTTACCTGGCCGTGCTTTTGTTTTTTTTTAACATGTGTTGAGCATTGTGCACCAAACATCTCATAGAGGAGATATCCTTTTATTGAGCAAATAAACAACTCCAGGGATGGACTACTCAAGGAGTAAGCTGGGAGACCCCTATGGGACAGGAGACTCACACTCATTGGCCCATCTTAACTTTTATTCCTGTGTCTAGGGCCGTGGTCTGGAGGATGTGATCTCACTGAGGCAGCAGGGTATCCAATGCAAGAAGCCAGACCCCTACTCGCCCAAGTGGGTCTTGGTGTCTTATGGGATAAATTGTGCCCCTCCAGAATTCATGTGTCCTGCTCTGACCTGAGCTAGTTGTATGTCCTCGGAAAAGTAGCTTAAACTTCTCTAGGTTTCATTTCCCTCTACGTAAAATGAGGATGTCAACTACATAGTGTTTAAGACTCTTCACTCTAAGATCCTGTGGTCCTGGACAGGGAGGGAATATCAGGGTGGCCAGCATGGCTGCTAAGGAGGGTAGGTGGCGCCAGAAGCATGCTCCTTGTGTTTTGGCTTAGAAAATACCTTCTGTGAGAGTACCTTCTCCAGAGAATGATCTCAGAGGTGATCATCAGATTTTTTTTTTTAATTACTTGTGTAGTCATTTTATTTTCCTCAAGTCCTACCCCCTGCCATTCAACAATTCTTTGTTAAGTTACAAATCTCATGTAAAACCATGTAGGAACTCTTCCAATACAAGCAAATACATTTTTTTTCAAATTATGAAATATTTCAAGTGTACAGAATAAAAATATAGAGATTAATATCTATCTCAACCATGTAGCTTTGTCAAATCGATCATCAGATCTTATTCTGCATTCTGGACATTGTAGGCTTCCATAAAACTGGAATCTGAGGACTGGCAAGTGGCAAGGCAATTATTTGGCAAACTAATGGTCTAAGAAAGGACTGGATGCTGAGATAGACATTCAGAATAGCAGAACTTCCCAGTCAATGCAAATATATCCACAGAGTGATTGAAGTGTAATTACATTTTTTTACTGCAATATTTATGGAGATCTTTTATTCCTTGGTAGAATTACATTTCAGCTCAAATGACTTCAAAGAAACAGTTGGGGGAATATTAAATGTTCTAAGTAATTAAATAATGCAGCTTATTCTAATTATGCCATTGATATTCATGTTGATACAAAAGATGTAGCTTACTGAAAAAAAGAAAACAACAATGAATGAGGTTAAGTGTGGAGGCTATTTCCTTAATAGAACTGGACTATTTGTAAGAAGTAAGTGAATATTAATAGTAGTAAATGCTCTCAAGGCAGGAGTACATAAACTGGGGGAAAAGGGTTAAACTGGGGCCTAGAAAGTTCTGGGGCTCATCTGCCTCTGCCTGTCCTATTGTTACCTTCTAAATGTTTTGAGCTGATCTTAAACAAATGTTTTTTAGCTTTGGGAGAGAGGGAGGTAGGGGAAGAAGCAATAGGACCAGGGATCAAGTTCTCTTTGCTTTCCCACGCAGACACTCCTTCCTACACACAGGATGCATCCTTGGAGGTGCCTGCCCCTGACACCCATGGTGCAGGGAGCCTCTTACTTCCCCAGAGCAGTGCACCAGTTAGCCCTGGCCACCTGCAGCTGGAGGGGGCCAAAGGAAATCCAAGGAAAGCTTCAGTCATCAAAGGCCACCAACTTGAGAAGTCTGAGGGCAACGTCTTGCAGTTTGTGTATTGGAAGGGAATCTATTTTATGGATGTGAGCACAGGTTTTAACTCTGGGGCTCATTTTCTTCATTATAAGATGTGGATTACACTAACTCCTTCCAGGACTGTGGGAGGAGATTCAGGGAGACTCCATATGTAGTGCTTATTTTGTAATAAGTGCTTCAATCTAGGTGCTTCTAGGTATTTTAATCCACCTGGCACCTTGCAGACTTCCTGGAACACAATAATCTGTCAGGGTATACTTGTTAGATCATTCCTGGGATCCAGGATGAGTCATGGGGACAAGGAATATGGGTCCAGATGTGACCTTCACGGAGAAGAGAGAACATTATAGCCTGGAGGGAATATATCACACCCCTTCCATTTACTATTGAAAACATGATGACAACTTAGTGGTTCAATGTCATATGGATATGTGGTTTTTATTAACCACATTGTTGACCTAAACAAAGGGCAAGACATCCCATTGCCCAAGTGTGGCTCGTTAAGATGTATGGCAGCCCTCGTAGCTGGCTGAAATCTGGCATCTCCAACTGTTCATTGGACCCAATGGATAGGGCCCTATAGGCAGGTGAGGTTGACTGTCTTCATCTCAAAGGCCTCCAGAGAGGGTCTCCAGGAACTCTTGTCAGCATATTCCATAACTTCACCCCTCTGAAACCTGCCATCTTTCTTTGCTCTGACAGAACCTTCTATAATGTTGATCCCTATAGGAGGGTGTGAGGCAGCTCAGGAACCTGTGTGCAGCTTCCTCAGTTTCCCCATATAAGCTGTCCATGTAAGCTGGCATGTCTCAATGTCTCACTGAGGCTGTGATGTGAGTTCTTTAGAGTTCACTTTTGAAACAAGGACATGAAGTTACCTGGAACGTTGGGCTCCCAGCTTGCTGAGCTCTGCAGCTCTCTGTGGGACTGGCTGCTGCCGTCAAAAAGAATAGAGCCGTCATTCTGCAGGAGGGTTTATATGATAATAGGGTTTTTACCTCTCAGTAATTGGAAAGGTGCTAATCTAGTGACTCATGAGCTACATATAAGAAAAAAAAAACCCACCCTGGAAATGAAACTACATCGTATTTTCTGAATGCCTCATCTCCTCATTTCAGTGGGGAGGGCGAACTGAGGCTGAGCAGTGTGGAGCAGAACCTGGTGCTCCTGGCAGTCCTGCTGCAGTGACCATGCACCCTTGCCTCTTCCCTGAGTAGTCCAGAGATGCAGAGAGCAGGGAGGGGTAGACACACCAGTGACATATGTCTGGGGCCACAAACCCAGCCCCAGCCACTGGGAAAGGAAGATGGCACGTGAGTGGGTTTGCAAGGGAGACACTCACTAGCCAATTAACATTACACCATCACAAAGTGGGGTGAGTGCATATTTGTTTTTGAGTTTGGGTGTCTGTGCACATGTAGGTTGGGTGACTGTGCAGGCTTGCTGTGAGCGTGTGACAGCCCATGTGTGTCTGTGCACATGTGCCCTGATTAGGTATTCTAACTCTTGTCTTCTTTTGACTTGGGCTCTATTTTGTTTTCTCCACCTATGTCATATCTCCAGAGCACTATCCCCAGATCTGGCCCTCTGAGGGCCGGGGGTAGATGACCACTGAGCTTGTTCTTCACACTGGGGCAGCTGGAGTTTCTATATTTCTACTCTATATTTCTACTCTATATAGAAATGCAACCCTTTTATCTGCCCTAAAGGCACAGACCACTGGACCCGCTCAGGAGGCACCTGGGACTACTCAGTACCCAGACCTCCGCTCCAGGGGCTCAGGGAAGCCTCGTCTTCTTTGCACTCCTTCTGTCACCCTCCTGTGCTCGCTTTGCTTGGGTACGTCACCTACTTCTGACACTTCCCAAATTCTCATGAGATCCAACCTCCTAAGGGCTCCCTCTCCAAACTCCGTGTACCTCCAGCACCTCCAGAGTCCAGAGGGGCAGAGTCCTTCCAGCCAGAGCCCTTCCCCAGCCTCCTTCCTGCAGTAGCAGCATCTAGCCTGAGTCACCATCCCCCTGAGACTGTGTCTCCTCTCCCCTCCCACTCCTTTCATTAACTTCATTGAAGCTAATAATCCTGCAGGCAATTCCATTGTCTCCTCTTA